AGAGCATCCTTTCTGCACTGGGGCTGCAGCCGCCTCGCCCACAGCTTCCAGCACCACTGCCTTGCCCACACCCTCGCAGGGGACCCGCACTGGGAGAAGGTGAGAGCAGGGCCCAATCCTGGACCCCCTTGCGTGAGGGGTGAGGTGCTCTTCCCCCCTTAAGGGATTCCTCCCTGACAGGTGCCCCAATCCAGCCCGAGAGGAGAGCGATCCAGGTTCAGATGGCAGGGCCCGCAACCCCTTTGTACAGGAGCAATGGATCGGGCAGGAAGGAAAATTAACACCCCTCCCAGCATTGAGAGAGCAATGGGGCTGGGGGGATGGGGGGTGGCAGCGCACTGCTGTTCCATGTCCCCTGCCCCATTTGGAAACCAAAGCACCAGCCCCCCTAGGACAATCACACAGGGCGTGGGGGTATGTTTGGGATGGGATGTAGACTGGGGGGGTGTATAGGCATAGGCAGGTCAGAGAGTGTGTGTGGAATGGAGGCATGGGGGCTAGGCAGGGCTGGATGTATGGAATGTGTGGGATAGGGGTGCATCAGTGTTTAATTTGTGGCGGGGCTGAGCCCTGGCACCTCTTTCATTACAAATTAAACACTGTACTTAACCTTCAGGTTTCTATTCAGGAAATCCACCAAAGGAGAATCAATAGTATGATACATAATTATGTTGTTTCTTATGGGTTTGTTTTTGTGGTGGTGATGCGTGTTGGGCTTTCATTTGTTTTTTGAGCACCATGCTCTACATCCTTCCAGTATTTTGTAAATGAATATTTGTTTGCTTGCAGTCATTGATTGCTACAACACTTGTACTTAATTTCTTAAAATATAGTTTAAACACAGTTTGAGAGGATGGCTCAAAAGTTCTAGAGAAAAGCTAGGCTTGTCTAATAAATTCTCTAGTCTAAGGGATATCAGTAAGGACCAACATCATGTCCCCTAGGGATAGCCAGGACACAGTGTAACTACCTTTTAATATAGAAGGGAGCAGGGGTGCTGGAACAAGTTTTATAATGGAGGTGCTGAGAGCCATTGAACCAAACTGTAAACCCTGTATATAATGGAAACCACTTCAAACCAGAGGGTGCGGCAGTACCACTGATACTGGCAGTACCACTAGTTCCAGCACCAGAGGCTGCTGAGTCTTAACCATTCTAATAACAGCCGAGAAGAAGAACATGAGCGTTGGGTGAAAATGGAGCAGCAGTATAAATACATGACATTCTTTGGATAAACAAGAGCAGACCTGGGAGTCTGTCTCTCCGTGCATCAGTTTGAACAAGGAGACTGTTAGAAAACAGTCATTTCTTTTTAACAGTAACATTCTGAATTCATAAAGTAAAATCTTGTTTCAGTATCCAGTTTTGGGGGGGGAGAGGGGGGAACCCAACAAGGTATGATTTGGAGAGTCTGGTACGTGCTCTCACACAAAGGAGTACCCGAAGGTGACTGTTGACTGATCTCTTGATGCTTGGGCAAAACTGAGGAGAAAGTCTAACAAATGCATCGTTTTGCAGTAAATTAGATCAGATTTCCGCATCTCCGCACTCAGTCTGTGAGCTGACAGTTCAGTAGAACGTTCCCTTGTAAGGTTCGCCCTCTTAGGAAAAGGGGCAATAATTCATCATTAGGATTTCAGAGTCCAGGTGTAGATGAAAACTGATGGAGCCTCCAGCGAGGCAGGGAAAGTGCACAGAAGAAGAAAATTTTATCTGAAGCCTAATTCCCTGGTTACAGCAGAGAATAATTAAGATAATATTGCTTCAAGAGTTCTTTAATGATTAAAAATCACATATGCAGAATCCATAAATTGGAGGGCAACAGATTGGAAGGATATAGCATCAGAGATCTGTTTTGTGCGCATTGTACAGGAAAGTACACCAGTGGCAGAACAGCAGCCTGGGCAGCCACAGGAGACCGGGCCCATTCCAAGGACTTTGTTTAGATGCAACAAATCATTTGTCTGTTATTAACCCAGAGCTTGTAATTATGCAGATTGCCATAGATTTTCCTGGGCCTGGAAGTGAGATTGAGGGTTGTTCACACTATAGCAGGCAGCTCAGGGCTGGCCATGCATTACTGAACTTGCCACATTTATCATGTTGACTGATGGCAGCAGAAGCAGGTCTCAGGTCCCAGTGGTTAATGTAGTGGGTAATTAACTGTCATTTGCCTAGTAATAGGCTGATGATCAATGGTTTGTGTGGAAACAAATTCTAATCAGGTAGCTGATAAATGCTCAGGGAACGAGAGCAATTGAAATTGGGGAAAACTATGTCCAGCATTTCAAAATGGCATTGTGGGTTTTTTTTATTATTATTATTATTATTAATTTATTTATTTATGGGGCGGAGGGACCTATGTTCTTCATATAAACAGCTTTATCCAAAATGAACCGCAGCTAATATTAATCTCACGTGAGTTTGTTTGTGTGTGTGTGAGGGGGAGAATTCACTGTAAAGGAGGCATCCTCTCCTCTGCTTAGTTGAAATTTATAAATAGGTCTGGTGCTTAAAAGTGAAGCAGCTTCCAAGTGGTGTTGTTAGGCCAGAGGAGTGTACAATAAAACCCACACAAAGTGAATTCCAGTGATTTTTCCATTGGTAGGGATGCAAAATGATGGTCCCGAATTGTTTCATCGCACTGCAGTGTGCAAACTATAGTGAACCTTGGGCTTACACAAGTGTTTTATATCGAAAAAGACTTGTCTATAAATAGTAACACCACATGCACTTAATCCCCAATCCTTCAAAATAGTTAAGCATATGCTTAACTTTAAATGTGCGAGTGGTCCCACTGAAGTCTTGAGAGTTCCCACTCAGGAGCGCCGCCAGCTTTTTTGCCGCCCTAGGCGACGGAAAATCTCGCCCCCGAAATACCACCCCCGACAGAGGTAGCGGAAGGTCCCGCCCCCGAAATACCGCCGACAACCGGGACGGCCGAAGATCCAGCTGCTGCGGTCGCTGCCCCTCAAATGTCGTCTAATGGGTTGGACCGGCCCTGTTCCCACTGAATTGGATCTCAGGGGAATGGGACTATTTATGTGCTTAAAGTTAAGGGTGTGCTTAAGTGCTTTGCTGTATTGGACACTTAAAGCATAACTTCCTTGTTAATAGGTAGTTCAGTATAATAATACTTTACACATAGCATCTTTTGCAACCTGATCTGCATTTCTTGTACACCTCTAACTCTCATTCACCTCCAGGTGGGTGTGTAAGGAATGCAGAATTGGGCCCTTGGTCAGACTGTCTCAACAGTCTTCACACGTATTAAACCTCACAATATTCCTATGAAGTAGGTAGATTTTAGGCCTATTTTACAGATGAGGAACTGAGGTTTGAGTAAAGCCCACCCAGGAAATCTGTAGCAGAGCTGGGCCTAAGGCTGGAATAGAATGTTTAGAAAGGGAACATGGATTAAAAAGCACTGTGTATATATAATTTTAATCCTAAATTTTAACAGTTAACAGAAACAAAGTTGACATGGGTTTGAATAATCCAACAGGAGCTGAGTAGCACAACGCTGATGATTAAGCCGTGGTGTTCGTTATCTCAAAAAACTTCTTCAAATAATGGTAACCAGCACATCAGACAATCATTGGCAAATGGTTCAGAACTTCAAAATAAACATGCATGTATTTATGCAAAAAGTACATCTTAAGTGGAAGCAGAAGGTATAAGGAATTGGAATTAAGTAGGTTTGTTGGTAACTCGTGAAATTCAGTAAAATGGAAGGATGTGATTAAAAAAGTGCATTCATTTTTATGTTACCAAACTGAATTTTATACAGAGCACCTTTGAATTCATTAGTTTAGAACTGCTTTTAATTTGGTGTTTCCCTTGAGAGCCATTATATTTTTCTGCTGTCAGCCTGATGTTGAGGAAAAAAGAGAACTGGCAGATGTGGCGTTTTCATCTAGTTTGCTTCATAGTTAAAAACAGCATTAACTGCTATACGAAGGCAGAGCATTACTTTTAATAATCCATCACAACTATTAGGTAGTTTAAATAAAACTTCGTTTCAAAGATTGCTGGTGTGTGTAGCTAAAGTATTTTTTTTCTTTTTCATTATAATCCTCGTATGTTACAAAAGCATGCATACATGTAGGATTTTTTTTGTAGTGATCTCATTTGAAAAGTTTCAAGAAATCTTTAACAAAGAAAAATCTTTTAAAATTGTTTTTTAAAAATATATTAGGCATTTTTACCAGACATTTCAAATTGTTCTTACAATATATTATACCTCTACTCCTGATGTGGCTATATATAGTTTACAGCCTCATTTACTTTAATGTGCTACCTGAATAACATAATCATAGCTATAACTATGGTAAAGGGTTGTAAGGTGTGTGAACCGCTAATGCTTTCTGACGATTTAAATGACTTGTTCATAAAATGTTCTTTTAATAATAATGGTAAAGCTTTTAGCACTAGATGTCAGAAATGTGGAGAATATTGGCTTTTTTAAGTGTTATTTCTTTTCTAGCTAAAGTGTGTTTTAATAATAAATAGCACTGAGGCCAAGGTTATGTGGCTCTCATATTTACAGTACAATCCAAGTAGAAAGATTCTTACCATATTTCAAACTGGTTGACCTCTGCTTGCACGTGGTTATGTAACTTTCCTAATGTATTTGTCATTTCCTCATTTGCTTGAACAAGATGTTTCTTTCATTAAGAAAGGTCAGTGGAGTATGTACCAAAGAAGAATATTTATGTATAAAAACAGCATAAAAATTACTTCGCAAGGCACAGTATTATTATGGCACTGGTTTATAGAGCTTCCCAATGCTATCCCACTTTATCGGCAAGTGGCTTCAAATGGGATTGTTTCATGAGTGCGCTTGTTCTGCTAAATACCAGCCTTTCCCAAGAATGGTACACTGGGAGGTGAATGACAATTACATACTTTTATAAAGCCAAAGAAAATAAATGGAGGTATAATTTTTTCCCCTACCAGTTAATCGTATCCTTGAATATCTTCCCTTTGTGTGTCCTCAGGTTATTTGGTGTTACAGGAAACTGTGCTGCTTGCAGTAAGCTCATACCTGCTTTTGAGATGGTGATGAGAGCCAAGGAAAATGTTTACCACCTGGACTGTTTTGCATGTCAACTTTGTAATCAGAGGTAAGAGGACTTCTTGGTTTAATTCCGTAGGCTAACACTAACTGAGCCCTGATGTATATATTTTTGTTTAATGGAGAGAAAGCATTTGCTAGTGGTTGAAACACAAGGCTGGGAGTCGCACCCGGATTCGTTTTCCAGTATTGCCACAGACAACCTGTGTGACCTTGGGCAAGTCACTTAAACTTTTCGTGCCTCAGTTCCCTCATCAATAAACAAGAATAATGATACTTCTGCTCACTCACAAGGGTGCCTGTCAAGCTTAATTAATTAATATTTATAAAGTGCTTCGAGATCCTCTGCTGTAGAAAAGTGCAAAGGAGTACCATTTATCATTATTATGTTAATTTTATTTAAATTCCTCAGCTTTGTCAGTTGAATTTCTTTTAAAAATACATACTATTTCTTTCTGTTGACAGAATTCTTATTGTTTGAATTCACAGGACATTGCATTCCATTGTTCTTTGTAAATCAGCATTGGAATCCTGTGCCATGTTCTTGTGACATTATAAACATTCCAAGGCCCCAATCCTGCAAAACTTGTTCTGTGCCAGCATGTACCTGCAGCTACATAGAGCCCCATTGACATTCATCCAGGTAGAACTTGTTGCAGGATCCGGGTCTAAAACTGCAAAATCACAATGGTTGAGATTTTCAAAGTCAATTAGGATATTTGGTCACACAAATGAAAATCTCAACCTATGTCATTGGGGTGGAATCTTGGCCCCATGGAAGTCAATAGGGGTTTTGCCATTGACTTCCCTGGGGCCAGGATATCACCACTGGAAATTAAAGAACTGATTCATATGTACTATTTTATGTACGTATTACACTGCCTCAATTATTATATAATCCTACATTTAGTAACACATTTTACAGTTTACATTTCTTTTACATTTGCATAAGAAGAAATACTCAGCATGCAACTTTCTTAGATAGTAACTAAAAATTACTACAATAATATTCTAATGTAATATTCACCAAATGTAAATCTAGCCCTAAATAAGCCGTGCTAACTTACCCTGTACTGCAGTGTATTATTCTATAGCATTGTAGTAATTTAAAAATCAAGCATCCCCAGAGCAACATAAAATGTACAACTGCTAATAAGTATAGCACGGTACAATTACACTCTAAAAAAGCGAAATTGACCTTTTTCATCATGTTGCATGGAAAATTAAAATATCAGACAAATAATAACCGCAGCTTAAATGATATAATAATGCAAAGTAATTATAGGTTGTAATGCTATTTACAGATCCTGTATCAATTTTGCCTTGCTACAGAACTAAAAGGCTGTATTCAAAATAATGTCTACCCTACCAATAGAACCCACTGAAGTAAGACACACGCACTCCTAAATTCAGATTCTAAAATCTTTCACATCCCTAGTGCTGCAAACCACTGTTCTAGTATCATTATTAAAGTGCCTAATATATTTCTGTTGTTCGCTTCATTTATTACATGCCATAATGGGGCTGCATATCTTTAGTGTTGGTTATGCACAATTAGCACTTAGTTATTGTCTTGTCACTTCAGCCCATATAAGACAAACTTCTTTAATGCAAGAAGTCAGCTAATCTTCATCAGTCAAGCAAAGCAGACAATTTTTGTTATCCTGAACACAAAAGATTCCAACTTTTTAATTTAACCCCCCAAATAACCCCCCAAAACATTAACTATAATCCTTTTCCTATTGCCATAAATGTGAACTAATGTGTGTCTTCATAGTATGAAAAGCATCAGAGTGGTGATCTTGGACGATTTAGGTTCCTATTAGGAATATCCTCTGCTGCTTTTTAAATGAAGAGTTTTAGTGGGGGTCTAATATTTTTGGATCCACTTTGTTGTTGTTGTTGTGGGTCTGTCATCTCTGAGCCTCCAATCTAGTGCCTCATTTGGGGTTTTTAGGCTTTTCCTGTGCTTTGGGTAAGCTGCAGGCCAGAGTGCTGATACTTATCAGCATAGGTGCTGGAACTAGCCATGTTGGGGGAGCTGCAGCATCCCCAGGGTTGAAATGGCTTACAGGGCTTACAGTTTGGTTCAATGGCTCTCAGCACCCCCACTATACACATTGTTCCAGCCCCTCTGCTCATAAGTAGAAAGCCTTATGAGAAGGGTCAGGGATCCTTGATCACACAGGGATTGCCATACCTGGCGGACACATGGTCCATCTAGTCAAACCAGTGGCCAGTACCAAGATGTTTCAAAGAATTCCATATATTGGAACCTCACAACACAATGGAGCACAATCCTGATCATGGTCTCTGGGTACTATTGTAATATAAATATTTAATAATAATGGACAATAACAAAATAACCTATCCATAGAGTATGTTTCTTCCTCACCACCTGACATTGGTGACTATCTTATGCCCTTAAGTATTATGATTTGTACCTCTTCTTTTTATTTTGTTTTATAAATTCTAATTTATAGATGTGCATATTATCCATACAGATTTCTAATCCTACTAAACTCTTGAATGATATCTTGTGGCAATGAGTTCTGCTGCTTATGTATTTCATATTAGAAGAATCACATCGGTGTTATTTGATTTCCTTTCTATTTCCTTGCATTTTTGTATTACGTTAAGGTAAATAGGAGTGCTGGATTGACCTCCTGGTACCATCCATTATTTTGTATACCTCTATCATCACACCTCATTATCTCCTCTTACTCTTTTCAATCTCCATACCTCCAATAATTTTCCTTGCCCATCTCAGGACCCCTTGTATTTCCTCTGTCTTATCTTTGAAAACCAAATTCCAGGTGAGGGTGTGTCACAACTCTAGTGAAGCACCCCCCTCTTGGTCACTCCCCAGACTGGTATGAGGGGATGCAACCACTGACACCATGTGTGTTTAAAGCTACTGGAGTCTGAACAGAGTCCAGGCACTGCTGCTCTATTGGAGACGCTGAGCTCCCTCTCGGGGTGCAGATTCTGTGTCTAGTATCCCCACCTGAGAGTTGTGATTACATGGTTCCCTGCCCAGCCACTAGAACCAGAGCTGACCCCTCAGGCTCCACCCATAGCCCCGATAGCTTAAACACGTCCTCTCCCAAAACTCCACAGGAAGATGTGAGCCTTCTGGTTTTCATCCTCAAAGGGGCATGGGGTAGGCGTAATGCTTACCACACAGAGACAGACTTTGCATGGGAGTCTAAGCCACCATTGCCCTTTTCTTAACAGATAAAGCACACAGCAGGGCCGTCCTTACCCATACACAAAGTACGCAGCTGTGTAGGGCACCAGCCCCTGCTCCGTCTCTTCCCACCCCTGCTCTGCCCCAACCCCGCCTCTTCCCACCCCTGCTTCTCCCCAGCCCCGCCCCCACTCCCCTGAGGAGTGCAGCAGGGCTGGGCCTGCACTCACCGGCGGCGGGAAGTGCAGCGGCCCGGCCCCAGCCGCACCGCCAGTGAGTGCTGGGGGGTGGTTTCCCCCTGCCCCCCAAGCCAGCCTCCCCATCCCCACAGAGGCCTGGGGCCCCACATGCCCACCCCCCACCCGCAGAGGGGCTGCATAGTGCCCCAGAATAGCTAGGGACGGCCCTGGCACAGAGAGTGCTGATCACATAGAAAAAAATACATCCTGAATGGTCCTTGGGGGACCTTCTGAGTTCGAGTATGCAGGGTTCCCTCCGCTTCATCACATCAGGTTGCTGCAGCAGCTTTTCTCTGCTTGATTTGGTGAAAATGGCCAAAGACCCCAAAGAGATTAGCTCCTGTCCTTTTTATAACCTTCCAGTCCCTTTGTCAGGTGACTCCCAGATCAGCCTTCTCAGGTGATCCTAGACCCCTGCCAGGTGACCTCTTTCCTGACAAACCAGTTCTCCTGGGTGGGAGCCAGTCTATTTTCTAGGATGGTTGTATTTGAATAGAGGAACATCCCGAGTTAACAACCTCTATAGTCAGCCCTGTATTAGTCTCTGTTGGAATTTCAGTACGATATGGAGGTAAAAAGGCAAAAGAGAAAGCCCCACTTTCAAAATGGAGTTTGCATCTTGGTGAAGACACACACAGTGTTCATAATCTCACAGAATTCATAAATTGTACAGATGTGCTCTGTGCCAACAATACCATTATACTTCTATCCCTTTTCCTATGCTTGCCTCCTGTGTATGAAATATCATTCCTGAGCTGACTCACTAAACCCACTGTTCTCATTCAAGTAAGACCCATTTCTACCACTATCCCTACATGAAATGAGTTGAGATCAATATTTTCTTTAAACACACACGCGCGCATGCATTGAGCTAACAAAACATGCCAGCCATCTCTCGGCTTATATATTAGATCCCTTTCCTCACTCCCTGTTTTTTGTCCCTTTTCATTGTAAACTCTTTTGGGCAGGGTTTGTGTCTTTAGGGCAGACTTTAGCATATTTGGAGTGCTCTTGTAACATAACTGATAGCAATATACCATTCTTCGTATGTGCTAACATTTTAATTGTTCAACTATGCTATGCACTGGGAAGAGGCTCCCAGTAAGCTGTTAGCCGTTAACAGGTCTTTTTCCTAAGTGAATATAGTTAAATTAAAACCCAGCAATGTTGATGAGTGGATTAAATTATTACTTTAAATTTGCATTAGTTAACACTGAATTTCATCTGCCATTATGCTGCCTGCTTGTTTAGCTTTGTCAGGTCTGTCTGAAGTTCCTCAGTCTTCCTTAGATTTAACTAACCTAAATAATTTTGTGTCATCTGCAAATGTAGGTTCTTGACTGTTCATCCTCTTCTGCGGGTCATTAATGAATAGACGAAGTCACATCCTGTGGATCCTTGGGGCAACCTGGTGTTAAGTTTTTTCTGTGCTAAGCGACATTAAGAATAGGTGTAATGTTTGCTATGCTCAGGTAGCCAATTTCAATAAGTGATGGTATTTATTATTATTATTATTATTTTGGTGGAGCTCACTTCATTCCTAAATTCTTTGGCTTTATACAATCTAGTCCTGGTTGATCTTTAATTCGTCAGCTTATTCCAACATCTTCTCTTTAACAC